CAGCAATTAAACAAAGATTACTATCATAATGAGGTAAATACTTACTATTATAGATGCATTATAATGATTAAAATTCAAAGTTCATAGTTTAAAATATTGATGGAACATATTAAATTTATTTCATGTAACTTCAGTGGTATGTAGAAGGCATCAATGTTTCGGAAAAATTCCGCGAGTATCAACTAGATGCTTTAAAAATGGCTAAAGAAAAAAATTTGACTTGGAATTCTATATACGAAATTTTGTAAGTATTTTTGAAATGATGAAAAAATTCCAAACGATCTTATAAAAATTTTTTTTTGCAATTCATTACAGAGCATTATCCTCAATAATAGTCCTGTCATCACCATGTCCATATCCTCATAATTGTTTTACCATAGAAGAATGGGATCAGATAATTAATAACAATCCATATCAAATCAATATCAATTTTATTCAAAAAGAAATATCACATAATCTTAACGAAATGGTCAAAAATTTTATGTTTAATAAGAGGGTTCAACTACAACCAGTTGAGTCTGGATTTAGTAAAAAAATATCTGATATCTTTAATGAAGTGTAAGTTAAATTTGTAAACAAGCAAAATTTGTAAGAAAAAATAGAAAATATTTAACTCTTTTAAAACTCATCCAGAAGCAGAGGGGTTCCCACAATTCTCGGCACCAAGATTTCTGAAGATTTACATAGCATCAAATACCTTCATCCATTTATAAATTCGATATTCTTTACATCAGAGCCCAAATTATATGAAGTTCGTTTAAATCAAGCAAATGCTGGCTCAAAAACACGGCCAGATTTTTCTTGTATAATAAATAACATACCATTGCTAAACACTGAAATAAAACCTATCGGAGTTACTCCACTAAGGAAGAAGAAGGATTTTATAAAAGGACAACTTCGTGCAAAAAAGTCAGTGAATCAGTTATTAGATGCAAAGGGTGGACCTGCGAGAGCATTGTCTGTTATAAATATGGGTATGTATAAATTATTGATGGATATATATAACAATATGTGTTTGTTAAACTAATTTTTCAACTTAGGGGAGAGATTAGATTCATATGTAATAGATTTAAGATATGATGGCCTGTATCGTTCCTGGGAATTTGCAAAAACAAAATTGGTGGTGGAGAAATCATCAATGCCTTCAATAGAATCATCAATTATTCATTTTTTAGCATTGGAAGTATGTATTATTATTTTTTTATTTTCAACTAAAATTTTATTCAGTTATGATATTTGAAATTCATAATAAATTTTTCGTATTCATAGGAGCAGGAATTTCAATTGCAATAAAAAATTTGATATTTATACCTTGAGAGATGTAATGTTAATTTATTTCGCATCTGTTAATTTCTTTTATTATTATGTATTTTTACAATAATTAAAGTACTTGTTCATAAAAATTGTGAAAATTAAATTTTAATCTTATATACACCCGGTGAGTGTTACTTGGCTGGTTGTATAACTTATGGTTATAAGGTTAATTAATTAGAATAGAGTAAGAGATACCGGCATTTTATTACAAGTGTATATTGATGGTCAAGTTTGTTTCGATCAGTATAAAGTAAAGGTTATATGGATGGTCAAGAGAAGAGAGTCATTCTTCAATCAAGGTGAAAACCAACCCTTTATATACATTTTCGAGCAGTACAATTTAATTTATTAAACTATTTGAAGCCGATGCATGATCACTCTCGCCTTCTTAAAGTTCGTTAGTTTTTTGAAGTTCTAGTATTAATGTCATGTGATATGTATAATAACAGTTACAAAAATTCGTGCAACTTAATCAGCCAACAATAATATATATCAATATGAGAGTCGCGTATGGGTTGTATAAGGAAAGAACCCCCTATTTTTTTGATTGCACAAAAAAATGTTTTTGATTTTTTTTTCCTCGAAAAAACAATTTTATTTTTTACAAGACGAGGAAATGTAAATGCCATGGTTCTCCTAAAGAAGACAACGTGTTATTTATCAACAGCGAGAGGCATACGGTTTTTTATTTTATTGCATTATATTTATTTTGTTTTATAAATGTATTGATGTGTGTCTTTTATTATTTTATATAAAAGGTGTATTGTTGAAATCAAAGTGTGGATGCAGAACCTGCAGCGTCTCTTTAGGTATTTATCATAAAAAATTCTTATCAAGATAATAAATGATTGGTATCATTTTCGTAATAATTAATAATATTAATATTAAATATAAGATGTCAAGGCAACATGATTGTTGCAGGCGATATGTAACGTTTGGTTATCAGAAAATCTACAGATGTCAAGGCACACATGCTACCTTAATTCTCTACAGTCATTCTCACATCTTCCTCGTGTCCACAAGGCTAATCTGACCACGCTGCCACCAATGATACAACGATGCAACTGAATTCCAGGGGGTGGACCCAAGGCCCTGGGTTTGTCAATAGATTGCATCATTCTCAAGGACTTTTAACCTTCTTTCCTCACAACACCTGAACTGGCATTACCCAGATGAGCATGTTGGCCGAAAAGTTTCCTGCAATGATCCTACCTCTAAAAATGGCTGGCTCTGCAACTAAGAGGTCACAACTCTGGAGGTGGTAGCAGCCTGGGTTGAAGAATTGTAATGCTAGGTGTGCTATGTAAATGAATATCTGCGACTCATTTCAAGCTCATGGAGGGGTTGGGGACTCTGAAATCACATTTATGCTCTTTCTTTTTTTTTCAAGGAACCTGCCAGATTTCTTTCATATTCTGACATCAAGAGGAAAGTTTTAAAATAGTTATTCTATATAAATTAATTTTTTTCCTAAATTCTTTGTTTCTTTGGCACTAATCAAATTTATAATTTTGGCAGGGGACATGGGCTTTTGCCCAATTAGACCCAGTGTTGAAATTTCGTCGTGTAACTAGCACAAATTTAGAAACTATCTCCGAAAATTAAAATTTTGATTGGTGTGTAATGTTACACCCCCGCATTCCCCGCACTGAATTTTCAACACTGATTAGACCCTCCCCTATAGATTAAAATTGTCATATGGTTATATACATCTTTGTTGACCAAATGACCTACAAAGTGTAACTTGTTGCACTTTTTAGTAATCCTTTTGGAAAAGGCTAACAAGAAAAGTCATAAAATGGGTTGGATTTTGGTATGTTTTGTACAAATTAATCATTTTTCTGAATTTCTGTTTTCTTGGTAATTTTTTATTGATTAATATTTTTTAAATGGGATGTTTTTTGTGAATAGATATGCACCTACAAAACAGCAATTCAAGTTGCAATCTCCTGAGTGCAGAATTTTGAATCTGCAGACACCAACTTTGTTCTTTAGGTCAGATAACACAAGGCAAGCATTACACCAGAATCAGTGATCAATTCCAATTGATAGCAGCCATGCCTGGTCTGAGAGAAAGATAAAGAAAAGTTTTTGGTCTGCCTTCCAGCATGTGGGGGGCCTCATCTGTGGAAAAAAATTTCACAGTTATGGGGCGTGCGAAAGCACATAACCACATGTTTGTGATAGGAAATTTAATTAAATCTGACACCTGCAATCAACATCAGATTTATTATTCATAAGGAACTATACAATGGGAAGGAATTTTTTTTTTTGATCCCCCCATTTATTTATTATTGTGAACTGGGTAGACATGTATTATCAAAAGTTTCATTTCTGCATGGCCTTGGTATTATTACTACTACCTGGGTGATGCAATTGTTTGTTATGTCAATTATAACATCAAATGTATTGAATAATAATCATGATCATCATGAATATTTGATGGATGGAGGCATTCACATACAAGGAAATGATTAAATAGCTAAGTCATGTTTGTTTTGTTTTATTTAAGATATATAATTAATTATATTTAAAATATACAATAAAAAAATTGCCAGAACAATTACATGGAATCCAAGGCTGACCAATTACACCATTTCATGTTCCATGGTCAATCAAGCAATTATTTGAATACATTTGGTGCACTTTATAATCTTATTGAAGGAGATAGGTTTGTATGTAATTTATAATTTTTTGTGTTAATTTAGAGTCACATCTTTCTTTGTTCTTGTAGGTAGCATTTTACAAATCAAGTTATTTACCTTAATGTAATAATTATTATATCAAATTAATTTAACTAGTTTCAAAAATTGATAAAATTGGATATTTATAATATTTATAAAAAAAAATTTTTCATGTGTATGCACTTTTTTTTTGTTTGTTAAAAAAGATTTCAGTGAAGTTTAATATGCATTGTTTTTTTTTCAAATAGCTCAACTGATAACTAAATAGTTTCAAAAAGATTTGATTTTCCATATCCTTTATTAAATAATATATATAACAATAATCTCTTATTTATTTGTTTCTGTTTTAGTTGATCAATAAACCTCAGGTCTATCTTATCCATTTTTAGTATGTAATAAATAATAGATAATTTAATCTTGACATAATTATTTTTCATGGAACCAATTGAGGATTTTTATTCTCTTTTATTAGTGGTTGTATCCGCCGAATGATACTCACCAATTATTCACCGATTATCCGGTGTAAAATAGTAAATTAGAAATCACGGGAACGAACATATAAATCGGAAATGATTTACATGTATCACGAAGTGAAAATTTGGAAACGATTATCACG